TGCATGGTGAGTGGTGCATGGTGAGTGGTGCATGGTGAGTGGTGCATGGTGAGTGGTGCATGGTGAGTGGTGCATGGTGAGTGGTGCATGGTGAGTGGTGCATGGTGAGTGGTGCGTGGTGAGTGGTGCATGGTGGGTGGTGCATGGTGAGTGGTGCATGGTGAGTGGTGCATGGTGAGTGGTGCGTGGTGAGTGGTGCATGGTGAGTGGTGAGTGGTGCATGGTGAGTGGTGCATGGTGAGTGGTGCGTGGTGAGTGGTGCATGGTGAGTGGTGAGTGGTGCATGGTGAGTGGTGCATGGTGAGTGGTGCATGGTGAGTGGTGCATGGTGAGTGGTGCATGGTGAGTGGTGCATGGTGAGTGGTGCATGGTGAGTGGTGCATGGTGAGTGGTGCGTGGTGAGTGGTGCATGGTGGGTGGTGCATGGTGAGTGGTGCATGGTGAGTGGTGCATGGTGAGTGGTGCGTGGTGAGTGGTGCATGGTGAGTGGTGAGTGGTGCATGGTGAGTGGTGCATGGTGAGTGGTGCGTGGTGAGTGGTGCATGGTGAGTGGTGAGTGGTGCATGGTGAGTGGTGCATGGTGAGTGGTGCATGGTGAGTGGTGCATGGTGAGTGGTGCGTGGTGAGTGGTGCATGCTGAGTGGTGAGTGGTGCATGGTGAGTGGTGCATGGTGAGTGGTGCATGGTGAGTGGTGCATGGTGAGTGGTGCATGGTGAGTGGTGCGTGGTGAGTGGTGCATGGTGAGTGGTGAGTGGTGCATGGTGAGTGGTGCATGGTGAGTGGTGCATGGTGAGTGGTGCGTGGTGAGTGGTGCATGGTGAGTGGTGAGTGGTGCGTGGTGAGTGGTGCATGGTGAGTGGTGCATGGTGAGTGGTGCATGGTGAGTGGTGCATGGTGAGTGGTGCATGGTGAGTGGTGCATGGTGAGTGGTGCATGGTGAGTGGTGCGTGGTGAGTGGTGCATGGTGGGTGGTGCATGGTGAGTGGTGCATGGTGAGTGGTGCATGGTGAGTGGTGCGTGGTGAGTGGTGCATGGTGAGTGGTGAGTGGTGCATGGTGAGTGGTGCATGGTGAGTGGTGCGTGGTGAGTGGTGCATGGTGAGTGGTGAGTGGTGCATGGTGAGTGGTGCATGGTGAGTGGTGCATGGTGAGTGGTGCATGGTGAGTGGTGCATGGTGAGTGGTGCATGGTGAGTGGTGCATGGTGAGTGGTGCATGGTGAGTGGTGCGTGGTGAGTGGTGCATGGTGGGTGGTGCATGGTGAGTGGTGCATGGTGAGTGGTGCATGGTGAGTGGTGCGTGGTGAGTGGTGCATGGTGAGTGGTGAGTGGTGCATGGTGAGTGGTGCATGGTGAGTGGTGCATGGTGAGTGGTGCATGGTGAGTGGTGCATGGTGAGTGGTGCATGGTGAGTGGTGCATGGTGAGTGGTGCATGGTGAGTGGTGCGTGGTGAGTGGTGCATGGTGGGTGGTGCATGGTGAGTGGTGCATGGTGAGTGGTGCATGGTGAGTGGTGCGTGGTGAGTGGTGCATGGTGAGTGGTGAGTGGTGCATGGTGAGTGGTGCATGGTGAGTGGTGCGTGGTGAGTGGTGCATGGTGAGTGGTGAGTGGTGCATGGTGAGTGGTGCATGGTGAGTGGTGCATGGTGAGTGGTGCATGGTGAGTGGTGCATGGTGAGTGGTGCATGGTGAGTGGTGCATGGTGAGTGGTGCATGGTGAGTGGTGCGTGGTGAGTGGTGCTTGGTGGGTGGTGCATGGTGAGTGGTGCATGGTGAGTGGTGCATGGTGAGTGGTGCGTGGTGAGTGGTGCATGGTGAGTGGTGAGTGGTGCATGGTGAGTGGTGCATGGTGAGTGGTGCGTGGTGAGTGGTGCATGGTGAGTGGTGAGTGGTGCATGGTGAGTGGTGCATGGTGAGTGGTGCATGGTGAGTGGTGCATGGTGAGTGGTGCATGGTGAGTGGTGCGTGGTGAGTGGTGCATGGTGAGTGGTGAGTGGTGCATGGTGAGTGTGCATGGTGAGTGGTGCATGGTGAGTGGTGCATGGTGAGTGGTGCATGGTGAGTGGTGCGTGGTGAGTGGTGCATGGTGAGTGGTGAGTGGTGCATGGTGAGTGGTGCATGGTGAGTGGTGCATGGTGAGTGGTGCGTGGTGAGTGGTGCATGGTGAGTGGTGAGTGGTGCGTGGTGAGTGGTGCATGGTGAGTGGTGCATGGTGAGTGGTGCATGGTGAGTGGTGCATGGTGAGTGGTGCATGGTGAGTGGTGCATGGTGAGTGGTGCATGGTGAGTGGTGCGTGGTGAGTGGTGCATGGTGGGTGGTGCATGGTGAGTGGTGCATGGTGAGTGGTGCATGGTGAGTGGTGCGTGGTGAGTGGTGCATGGTGAGTGGTGAGTGGTGCATGGTGAGTGGTGCATGGTGAGTGGTGCGTGGTGAGTGGTGCATGGTGAGTGGTGAGTGGTGCATGGTGAGTGGTGCATGGTGAGTGGTGCATGGTGAGTGGTGCATGGTGAGTGGTGCATGGTGAGTGGTGCATGGTGAGTGGTGCATGGTGAGTGGTGCATGGTGAGTGGTGCGTGGTGAGTGGTGCATGGTGGGTGGTGCATGGTGAGTGGTGCATGGTGAGTGGTGCATGGTGAGTGGTGCGTGGTGAGTGGTGCATGGTGAGTGGTGAGTGGTGCATGGTGAGTGGTGCATGGTGAGTGGTGCGTGGTGAGTGGTGCATGGTGAGTGGTGAGTGGTGCATGGTGAGTGGTGCATGGTGAGTGGTGCATGGTGAGTGGTGCATGGTGAGTGGTGCATGGTGAGTGGTGCGTGGTGAGTGGTGCATGGTGAGTGGTGAGTGGTGCATGGTGAGTGGTGCATGGTGAGTGGTGCATGGTGAGTGGTGCGTGGTGAGTGGTGCATGGTGAGTGGTGAGTGGTGCATGGTGAGTGGTGCATGGTGAGTGGTGCATGGTGAGTGGTGCATGGTGAGTGGTGCATGGTGAGTGGTGCATGGTGAGTGGTGCGTGGTGAGTGGTGCATGGTGAGTGGTGAGTGGTGCATGGTGAGTGGTGCATGGTGAGTGGTGCATGGTGAGTGGTGCGTGGTGAGTGGTGCATGGTGAGTGGTGAGTGGTGCGTGGTGAGTGGTGCATGGTGAGTGGTGCATGGTGAGTGGTGCATGGTGAGTGGTGCATGGTGAGTGGTGCATGGTGAGTGGTGCATGGTGAGTGGTGCATGGTGAGTGGTGCGTGGTGAGTGGTGCATGGTGGGTGGTGCATGGTGAGTGGTGCATGGTGAGTGGTGCATGGTGAGTGGTGCGTGGTGAGTGGTGCATGGTGAGTGGTGAGTGGTGCATGGTGAGTGGTGCATGGTGAGTGGTGCGTGGTGAGTGGTGCATGGTGAGTGGTGAGTGGTGCATGGTGAGTGGTGCATGGTGAGTGGTGCATGGTGAGTGGTGCATGGTGAGTGGTGCATGGTGAGTGGTGCATGGTGAGTGGTGCATGGTGAGTGGTGCATGGTGAGTGGTGCGTGGTGAGTGGTGCATGGTGGTGGTGCATGGTGAGTGGTGCATGGTGAGTGGTGCATGGTGAGTGGTGCGTGGTGAGTGGTGCATGGTGAGTGGTGAGTGGTGCATGGTGAGTGGTGCATGGTGAGTGGTGCGTGGTGAGTGGTGCATGGTGAGTGGTGAGTGGTGCATGGTGAGTGGTGCATGGTGAGTGGTGCATGGTGAGTGGTGCATGGTGAGTGGTGCATGGTGAGTGGTGCGTGGTGAGTGGTGCATGGTGAGTGGTGAGTGGTGCATGGTGAGTGGTGCATGGTGAGTGGTGCATGGTGAGTGGTGCGTGGTGAGTGGTGCATGGTGAGTGGTGAGTGGTGCATGGTGAGTGGTGCATGGTGAGTGGTGCATGGTGAGTGGTGCATGGTGAGTGGTGCATGGTGAGTGGTGCATGGTGAGTGGTGCGTGGTGAGTGGTGCATGGTGAGTGGTGAGTGGTGCATGGTGAGTGGTGCATGGTGAGTGGTGCATGGTGAGTGGTGCGTGGTGAGTGGTGCATGGTGAGTGGTGAGTGGTGCGTGGTGAGTGTCGGGAGAAGCGGGTTAGGTGGGGGCATGTCGAGTGGTGAGTAGTGCCGTGGGGCATCTCAGAAGGGAACAAATGCATGATACGAAGCGAGGGAAGGTGAGTGTTAGCAGGGGAGGCCCTTGGTCATTTACATGTCCCCTCTTTCTCCCAGATCCCTAAACCTGATTCTCGATACCCTGACCGGAACCCCTTTTCCCAGGTTCTCGCCCGATTCCTCTCTGTGGTCATCAGAATCATCTTCCTCCTCCCCCTCCTCTTCACCACCACCACAATGTTTTCGCCCCTTCCTTCGTCCCCTCTTCCCCTCTTCCCCTCTTTCCTTATCCCCTCTTTCCCTATCCCCTCTTTCCCTATCCCCTCTTTCCCTATCCCCTCTTTCCCTATCCCCTCTTTCCCTATCCCCTCTTTCCCTATCCCCTCTTTCCCTATCCCCTCTTTCCCTATCCCCTCTTTCCCTATCCCCTCTTTCCCTATCCCCTCTTTCCCTCCTGCTCGTGCTCTACCCCCTTTCCCTCGTGCTCTCTCCCTCCCCGTCAGGCATACGCTTTGGCACGAGATGGAGGCCTGCCCCTCTTTCCTCTGGCGCCGTCTCGCTCCCAGCAAGGTCCCAGTGCTCGCCCTCCTCCTCGCGGTCGTGATTGAAAATCATCTCCCTCCTCCCTTTCCCCCTTTTCCCCCTCTTCAGGCATACGCCTTGGCACGAGATGGCGGCCTGCCCTTCTCTTTCCTCTGGCGCCGTCTCGCGCCCAACAAGGTCCCAGTGCTCGCCCTCCTCCTCGCAGTCGTGATCGGAATCATCTTCCTCCTGCTGCTGCTCTACACGTCAACCACCATCTTCTTTGTCTCTTTCCCCTACCCTCGTTCCCCTTCCCTCTTTCCCCTTCCCTCTTCCCCTCTTTCCCTTCCTCCCTTTCGTGCTCTTCCCTTCCCCCCCAGGCCTACGCCCTGGCACGTGACGGCGGTCTCCCCCTCTCCTTCCTCTGGCGCCGTCTCGCGCCCAACAAGGTCCCGGTGCTCGCCCTTCTCCTCTCCGTGGTCATCGGCATCATCTTCCTCCTGCCGCTGCTCTACACGTCAACCACCATCTTCTTTGCCATAGCATCCATCTCGAGCATCGGCTGGGTGTCGGCGTACTCGGTGCCCATCTTGTTCCGCCTCATTCAGAAGGAGGACCACTTTCAACCCGGCCCCTTCTACATGCCCACCTACATTGGCGTCATTGGCGGGTACGACACATGCATGCATGCATGCATGCCCCTCTCCTTCCTCCTTCCTCCTTCCTTCCTCCTTCCTTCCTCCTTCCTCCTTCCTCCTCCCTCCTTCCTCCTTCCTCCTCCCTCCTTCCTCCTTCCTCCTTCCTCCTTCCTCCTTCCTCCTCCCTCCTTCCTCCTTCCTCCTTCCTCCTTCCTCCTCCCTCCTTCCTCCTCCCTTATCCTCCCCCCCCCTGCTCAACTGGGCCCAACAAGAGAATCTCAACTGGGCTCCTGTGGCCATCACAGCATACATTCTCATCTCTTCCTTCATCGACCCCCATCCCTCGGACCCCTCCCAACCACTCTGTGCCCCTCCCCATGCGTTGTATCTGCACGCCCCCCACACCTATGCCCTCGCACGGAAATCGTGCATTTCCTGGCGCTGCTGTGGGTGCTCTACACCATCATTGCCTTCCTGCTGCTCACAACCCTCAAGCCCTTGTGCCTCTCCCAACCTCTTTGTGCCCCTCACAATTCCTTGCGCCACCCAATCCCTTAGTGTCCCCCTTCCAACTCCCATTCCCCCCTACTCCTGGTGCCCCCACACCCCCCCTTTTTCAGGAAAATCGTGCATTTCCTGGCGCTGGTGTGGGTTCTCTACACGATGATAGTCTTCCTGCTGCCCTACGCCTTCCCAGTCACGGTCGAGAATCTCAATTGGGCGCCAGTGGCCATCGCGGCGTGGGTCACCATCTTTGTCACGTGGTGGATCGTGCACGCTCGCTTCTGGTTCAAGGGGCCGGTTCGGGAAATTGTTCCGGTCGCGGAGGAGAATGGCGGGGAGAAGGAGGCTGAGGGGAAGATGGAGTGAGAGAGAGAGAGAGACAGAGTGGCTATTGCAGCTTGAGTCGACTGAACAATGTGAACCTGGCCCCTGTGGCATTGCAGAGTGGGTTGTGGAGGAGAATGCCGGGGAGAAAGAGGCTGAGGGGAAGATGGAGTGATAAAGACGGTTTCTTGGTCCACTCGAGAATCTCAATTGGGCGCCAGTGACCATTGCAGCGTGGGTCGCCCTCTTTGTCGTGTGGTGGGTCGTGCACGCCCGCTTCTGGTTCAAGGGGTCGGTTTGAAAGATTTTCCTAGTTATGGAGGAGAATGGCGGGGAGGAGGCTGAGGGGAAGATGGAGTAGGAGAGGGTGGGTGGCTTTAGGTGGTGTGTGTGTGCAAACCAGGCCCTCAGATATCAGCGTAAAACACGCTGATTACGCTGATTTTGTAGCTCAGATTTTCGTTTTCCCTGGAAATTCGCGAAATAGACTGTATATTCCCGTGATTCACGAAACCCCACCCACACACTTGGAATTTTTTCCCATGCGCCGGTACAGACAGTTGATGCTCGCTGAACCGTTTTGCCTTGCTGGAAGCCATCACAACAAAACAGCTCTAACCTTGTTCACGACTGCCCAATCAGAAGAAAGACAACACACCACTGGAGGCAGGGTCCAAGCCAACACGCCATAAAGGATGGCAGTGGGGTGGGGGTCTTGTCATCTTGCATGGAAAGACGACCAGGGTGGACAAAGATGCCTCTCCATGGCGGCTCGGGAGAGGGGGTACCCCCATCTGGTCCCTCATTCTATTCCTGCACTCGTCGTGAACCCCTGCAGGAAGTGACGTTCGAGCTCAAGCGTACGCAGGAGTAGCTTACCTCTCAAGCTCGGCACACTCAGCAGAGCTGAGCAGCCATGGCGGATCCGTCGCCCGCAGGCGACGGCCCTGAATCCAACGCTGCCACGAAGCCAATCACCCTTACTGGCCTTGACTTCTTACGACGACCTTCAGCTGCTCCTGCGTTAGTCTCGCCATCAGTTCCGACCGTTGTTCTCCCTTCCTCGGGCCCCGAGGCACCTACCATCTGGACGCATGGCGAGTGTTCGACGCATGTCGTCACTGCCGCATCAACTCCTGTCGCAACCGCATCAACTCCTGCCACTTCCGAACCTACACGGAACCGTCTCCTGTCGCTGCCGGATCTAATCGCGTCGGCCCACGTCTCAAAAGGAGCATCAAAGTAAAGTACCTCCACACGAAGATCCAATGGGGTGCCAGTCAGTCAAGCTACGCCAACGTATGGTCTGGGGAACTCCTCCCCGAATGGCAGGCAGCGTAAACTCAAGGGGAAAGCGGCTGAGGTTACTTCTGAAACAGAACTGCCCGACATAGCTGAGGAGAAATATCAGGAAGAATTATTCATGTACAACAAACAGTGGTCTGACGACTACCCGTGGCTTGTTTGTGTCAAAAGAAAGCAGGTTTCCCGTCAATGAAATGTTCTGTCTGCATTGCGCACGGGGATGTGGGTACGAACTTCGGCGCCAAAGGAGAAGGGGCGACCGATGTGCAGACCCAGGCAATGCGGAAGCATCAGCGCACAAGGAAGCACCGCCGTGCTCTGCGCAGACAGAGGACAGCCGAGGCAGCGCTCAAGGCTAACCGCCGGATCGACGACAACCCGAAGGTGAAAGACCTCGAGAAGGAGCGCCTGATCCCGCTCTTTGAGACTGCACTCTTCAACGCTAAGTCCGATGCCCCGATCGAGATGTACGTGGACCTCGTCCGACATCTGGCGCAGCGTGGCACACCCGGCTTCCCAAAGAGCGGATATGGTGCCTACTAGACGACGTGAGTAACAGTACTTTGGTTCAGATCGGTGAAGTGTTTGAACTATGTGATGCTATTATTTGTCAGAATCTAGTGAGAAGGAATGAATGTATTAGGCAGAAAGTTGGTACAAGTACAACCCTAATTGGGTTGTACCCCATATAGGCTACCCCACTACAGCCTACACAACACACACAACATAATAGTTTGACACATCCCCATAGGCAAAGTGGGGGGAAACAAGGGGTCACAAGACCAGTCAAGAAAAGCAAAGCAAGCTCAGGGTGGATCACAAAGTCACCACACACTCTGAGCACAAGCAAATGGCCACAAGGTCGGTTCACATGCAGAGTTATATAAATGGGAACAAGCAGTACAGTGATCACAACCTAGCAAGTGTAACCATGCAAGTACAAGAATATAGATCAAAGTACAAGCAAAGCTACGAAGTGAGCAAGTGAGGGAAAGTAGGCACAAGGCCTAACATAGTACAGAAACGCTGATGATCACGAGGCTGAAGTGCCTTGGTGAAGATATCAGCAGTGTTGGACCGAGTGGCCACGCAAGCAAAACGAAGCTGGCCACGCTGCTGCAACTCTCGAGCAAGGAAGTAACGCAGAGCGATGTGCTTCGTTTTGTGCTCCAGTCTGTGCTCCTGACACAAGGCAATCATGGCCTTGCTGTCGACGTACGGAACTGGAGGAGAACTAGGCCGCTCTCCCAAGTCAGTCAGCAGGTAGGTGTGCCAGCGTTACTCCTGTGCAGCCATGGCCCCTGCGTAGATCTCAGCCTCACAACTGGAACTGAGAACAGAAGATGAGCGGGTAGACCGCCAAGAAATAGAACCGGAGCTAAGGCTAAAAGTGTAACCTTGTGACGACTGGCGCGTAGCCAAGTCGTCAACCCAAGACGCGTCTGCGTGGCCAGTGAGAACAACTCAACTCTGCCTTCCAAGCACAAGCATCATGCCCGATGTACAACACAAGTAGCGTAACACCCTCTTAGCGGCCTCCCAGTGCTCTGGTCGGTGTCTCCCAGGCGCAATGTAGCGTGCCATGATGCTGAGAGGGTAAGCAAGGTCAGGTCGAGTGCAGGTCATCAGGTACATGAGGCAGCCCACAAGCTCTGGATATAGGCCACTCGGCTCTACGGACTCGTCCGAAGGTGGAGCTGAAAGTGAGTGACCGGTAGGCAGAGGAGTGGACTGTGGCGAGGACCAAGTGAAGTCGAAGCGCTGAAGGACCTGGTGCACCATGTGTGACTGAGTCTGGGCGATGGTGCGCCGTGCTCTGTTCCGGGTGATCTGCAAGCCAAGATAGCTGCGCAGCTCACCCAGGTCAGTGCAAGTCTGTCTCTTTTGCAGCTTCGACTTCACTAAATTCAGTGCCTCAATGTCAGCAGTGGCAAAAACCAAGTTGTTGACGCATACGAGGATGTAGAATGGCGGCAGCGAAGTGTCGGTACGCAGAAACAGCGACGGGTCAGAAGCCGAAGGAGCAAACCCAAGAGCCGCAAGTGTTGTCCTCAGTGTGTCGTACCACTCACGAGGTGCATCGCGGAGACCATAGACTGGCCGCTGGAGGCTCCACTGGGTACCTGCAGGACACGACCCAGTGAAGCCAGGCGGGCGGCGCAGCCAGATCTCCTCGTGCAGGTTGCCCTGTAAGAAAGCTGTGCAGAAGTGAAGAGAGTGAAGCTCATTGTCATGCTGAGCGGTAGCGTGCAGCAGCACCGGAAGAGTGGTCATCTTCGGGGTAGGGGAGAAGATATGGAAGAAGTCAACTCCCTGTCGCTGACTAAAGCCTCTAGCAACGTAACGAGCCTTGAAGACAGGCGGAGAACCCGGCGGCCGCTTCACCCTGAAAATCCACATGCCATCGACAATGTTCGCCCCAAGAGGGGGAACTGCGTCGACGTAAGTGCCTGTGGACTTCCATGATGCCATCTCTGCATCCATGGCTGTCTGCCACTGAGAGGAGTAGGGACCCGTAATCGCCTTTGCGTAAGAGCGCGGGGTCGGGATGTCTGGTGCATCCGGGTCTCCCTCAGGTGCAAGGAGCATGGACACGAGATGAGGTACAGCAACTGCAAGACACTCAAGGTCCTCCTGCCTATCCTCAAGAACGTCCATGCCAAGAGCAATCTCACCCCCGACGGACGGAGGACAGACAGATTCAGACTCAGCAACAAGACTAGCGGCGTAGTTAAGACGATAGCCAGCAGCAAAGTCGGCAAGCTCAGCAATTAGGGCAGACGCAGCAGTGGACTCAAACGAAGGGTCGCTGACAATAGTGGCTAGGAGACGGGTGACAGTAAGATTGGCAGCACGAACTAAGTTAGACTTAGGGTATGGACCGTCAGGAAGAGAGGACGCAGGAGGAGATGGCAGGGGGATTCGAAGTGGAATAGAGGAAGGACGAAGTGTCATACTATGGTGCCTGCCACAGGAGGAGGACGCGGACGCGGAACACGACTACCAGTACGACCGGCGTGAACATGCGAGGCAGCACCAGAGTCACCAGTGACCTTGACAGGCTCAACCAAGGGGAGTGGGTCTACCTAAGACACACCTGAAGGAGCAGGACCCTGAGGGGGGAGGGGGTCTACCGGAGGGGGACCTGGAGCAAGGAAGAGCGGCAAGGGGGGGGGGCGAGGGGGGAAGTGCAGTAGGGGAAGAGACGGTAAAAAGGACCTGACTCGTCAAACGTGACGTCCTGAGAGGGGAGGACACGGCGCAAGGTGGGGTGGTAAAACTGCCAGCCAAGCGCATCAGGGTGATAGCCAAGGAAGACGCAGGGAACGGCGCGGGAGGAGAGCTTGTCCAAGGAGGTATCGCGGACAAAGGCACGACAACCCCAAACCCGGAACACCGACGCATCGCCAACCTCCCCTGTCCAACGCAGTGTAGGCGAGGTCTCCGGCAAGGAGACACGAGGCCAGAGGTTGAGCTGATGCGCAGCGTACCAGACCGCAAACGGCCACAGAAAAATGGGGAGCAGCCGTATGGATCATGGAGGTACAAGCGACCTCCATGACTAAGTCAATGCGGCGCTCAGCAACCCCATTCTGCTGCGGAGAGGCTGGAAGCGTGAACGACTAGCAGATGCTCTCCCCACGACAAAATTTCCGCAAGAGGTCGGAGGAAAACTCAACACCTCTGTCAGAGTGCAGACGCAGGACCAGAAGGTCCGTGTCGAACTGCTCGCGAAG